GGGGGGCGTCTCGATAGTCCGAAGGTTCATTGGTCCGAAGGTTCATTGGTCCGAAAAGTGGTAACATTTTCATCGATTTTTTAATCAAGGGTTCATTGTTCCGAAGGTTCTATAGTGAATATTCGGACCAATGAACCTTCTGACTATTGCTACGGCCCCATTTACGTGTACAAATAGATTTACTAACAGAGGCAACGGCTTAATAGATTAAAGGACTCAAACTGGAGAGAAACCATCTGTGTACTGGTGTTCTAAAAAGAAATTCTCTTCGAGATACTGCTGTGTTAAGCATGGAAATACCCAATTTTAAGAAAAACGTTTTGGAGTTATCTAATGGCGATGGTATACTACATGAATCCTCGGTACACGAAAGAACTCACTCTGGAGTGAAACCATTCAAATGCCAGTATTGTGAAAAGAGTTTTATAACAAAAAGTAAACGTACAAGACATGAAAGGACACACACTGGAGAAAAGCCTTTTAAATGCCAGCACTGTGAAAAGAGTTTTGGCGAGAAAGGAACATGTATACAGCATGAAAGGACCCACACAGGAGAAAAACCATTCAAATGTCAGTATTGTGAAATGAGTTTTTGTGAGAAAAGTTCATGTAGACGACATGAAAGGACCCACACTGGAGAAAAACCATTCAAATGCCAGTATTGTGAAAAGAGTTTTAAAAGCAGACAGGGATGTTTACTACATGAAAGGAACCACACTGGGGAAAAACCATTCAAGTGCAAGTATTGTGAAAAGAGTTTTAGTTCAAAAAGTAACTGTATGGCACATGAAAAGACCCACACTGGAGAAAAACCATTCAAATGCCAGTGTTGTGAAAAGAGGTTTATTGAGAGAAGCAACTGTCTAACACATGAAAGGATCCACACCGGAGAAAAACCATTCAAATGCCAGTATTGCGAAAAGAGTTTTCATTGGAAAAAAAACTGTACAGAACATGAAAAAGCCCACACTAGAGAAAAACCATTCAAATGCCAGTATTGTGAAAAGAGTTTTAGGACAAAAAGTGACTGTATACCACATGAAAGGATCCACACTGGAGTAAAACCTTTTAAGTGCCAGTATTGTGAAAAGAGTTTTTGTGTGAAAAGTAACTGTACACGACACGAAAGAACCCACACTGGAGAAAAATCAGTCAAATGGCAATATTTTGATAGGGGCTTTAGTGAGGATGTTTTTTCTCTTCAGTTAAAGACAGAATTTCAAATTGAGGCTTCAGATCCAGGGACAAGGGAAGAAAAGGGTTTTTGTATTGAAGCCGCAGTTAAAAAGGAGTTGAAAGATGATGTTGCTCCAGGAGAAGGACCTGTTATATACCCTATTGCAATGTTTAGAAATGTTTTTGCAGACGCTGATGCATAATGTGTAGGAAGACATAAAATGATGTCTGAGACATTTGAGATGCACTGGTCTAATTATTAGTTTTAAGTTCTCATGCATTAAGATGTGGGTAAATAATTTAAAGTGAAAAAAATGAATTATCAGTTGGCTTCTTGTTTATAGAGAATTAACTGAAGTAATAGATGATATTTCATTCATTTTCATTTTCGTTGATTTTTCAACGAAAAACTGGTGTATGTCATAGTGTATACATTAGAAAGTAAGGATGGGCGTTTTACACACTGTTTGTTAAATCTTGAATGAAGGAGGTAGAATAAGGGACATTTTGCATGGTTGAAAAAAATTCATGCTTCAGAGTCTATAAGACTTCACAGGAAAAACACTTCATTTATCTCAGGTTAATGATCCATCATGTCAGGGGTAGCACTACAATTTTTTTTTTTTTTTTTTTTTTGCCTTTTTTTTTCTTTTATGTTGCTTCAGCAAATATTTGATTTTTTTTACATACAGGTATATGGGATTTTTTTAGACAATTTGCACCAGTGAGGGTAGTATTATAGCTAAAAATAAAAATAAATCAATAAATTAAAAAAAAAATGCAAAAATGTCAAATGTACTGGCAAAATAACAGAAGAAAATAAAAGTGCACAAAGCAGGTTATTTTGTCAATTTTGATGCAAGAAAGGAAAAATGAGAACAATACTTGAATGATTACATAGATATTAAGACAAGAGGATGAAGATATCCAGATATATTTTCTGACAGTCTTCCAAGTTGCCTTTGTTGATCCCTCTTCCACTTTTGACCATTTTCCGACAGTATAAATTAGACACCCATCAATGTAAACTTGACGATCTGATCGTCTTCCGGAAGACCCAGAAGACAGCCTCAATCCGCCCTTTGATATATCCTGTTGGCAGTTGCAATGTGAAAAAAAAAAAAAATGCAGTTGCTGATGAAATTATGTGTAGGGGTGCATTCCCAGAGATTTAGATCAATCCAGAGATTTAGATTTAGATCGACCCAACTCCCTGGGGGTTAAATTGCAGTCAGCCAAGCGAGCACCATAGTTAATTACCCCTTTACAGCTTTTAGTAGGCGGGTCAGACGCTTAAGCCGGCTAAGCTGACAGTAATCTTGTGAGACTCCCCACAGGGATAGATCGATCTAAAATCTATGGGAATGGGGTCTAGGATATTTAAGATACACTGATTTCATTGTATCACTTGTTTCTTGTGGCATGTCAAACATAAAAAATGACATAATAATTTAAAGTGGAAAATTGAATCAAGCATTGTATTACTTCTTGTTGATAGAAAAATAACTGAAATAAAAGACAGGCGAATTGGAATGTGGCCCGTCCCGAATAATGTCAGATAAATAGCATCGGTGAGCCGTATAACACCTTTTTCCTTGCATACTAGTAGTTTCTTTGTCTGTTTGCCAGAAAAAGCGACGGGGAGGGGAGGATAAGTGGACGGATAGACTTATCCAACTCTGCTGTATATCATCAAGCATTTTGAAGCTGGTGAGGGTGCAAGATTTGATTGCAAAAAAATTAACTTAACTTCGCCTCCACAAGGATTATCCAAAGCTCAGCGACCGTGCACTAACACTCACGTATGTGTATAGTGATTTACACGTACAAATATTTTAACTGATATAATAAGCAGTTAAACCAAACGAAGGTTCAACCTAGAGAGAAGCCGTCCGTGAACTGGTGTTCTAAGAAGAAATTTTCTTCTTGATACTGCTGGGTTAAACATGGAAATGCCAAATTTTAAGAAAACCGTGGATTTACAAAATGGCGCAGGTACACTACATGAAACCTCGGCACAAGAAAGAACTCACTCTGGAGTGAAACCATTCAAATGTCAGTATTGTGAAAAGAGTTTTATTACCAAAGGTAAACGTACATATCATGAAAAGACACACACTGGAGAAAAACCTCATAAATGCCAGCATTGTGAAAAGAGATTTCTTGAGAAAAGGGGATGTAGAGACCACGAAAGGACCCACACTGGAGAAAAACCATTCAAATGTCAGTATTGCGAAAATAGTTTTATTACAAAAAGTTTATGTACAAGACATGAACGGACACACACTGGAGAAAGGCCATACAAATGCCAGTATTGTGAAAAGAGCTTTAAAAGCAGACATGGATGTGTACTTCATGAATGGAACCACACACTTCGTAATGAAGCAGAAGTGAAAAAGGAATTGAAAGATGATGTTGCTCCAGGAGAACGACCTGTTATATACCCTGTTGCAATGTTTAGAAACGTTTTTGCAGATGCTGATGCATAATGTCTAGGAAGACATAAAATGATATCTGAGTAATTTGAGATGCACTGATCTAACCTATTAGTTATAAGTTCTCATGCATTCAAATGTGGGTAAATAAAGTAACAAAAACGATTTATCAAATGGCTTCATGTTGATAGAGAATTAATTGAGGTTATAGATGATATTTCATTCATTTTCATTTCGTTGATTTTTCACCGAAAAACTGGTGTATGTCATAGTGCATACATTAGAAAGTAAGGATGGACATTTTACACACTGTTTGTTAAATCTTGAATGAAGGAGGTAGAATAAAGGACATATTGCATGGTTGAAAAAGTTCATGCTTCAGAGTCTATAAGACTTCACAGGGAAAACACTTCATTTATCTCAGGTTAATGATCCATCATGTCAGGGGTAGCACTACGATTTTTTGATTTTTTTTGCCTTTTTTTTTAATGTTCCTTCAGCAAATATTTGATTTTTTTTTTTTTTTTACATATATGGGATTTTTTTAGACAAATTGCACCAATGAGGGTGGTCTTATAAGTTAAAATGAAAATAAATCAATAAATTTAAAAAAAAACTGCAAAACTGTCAAATGTACTGGCCAAAAAAAAAAAAAAAAAGCAGAAAATAAAAGTGCACAGAGCAGGTTATTTTGTCAATTTTGATGCAAGAAAGGAAAATTGATTACAATACTTGAAGGATTACATGGATATTAAGACAAGAGGATGAGGATATCCAGAGATATTTTCTGACAGTCTTCCAAGTTACCTTTGTTGATCCTTCTTCCACTTTTGACCATTTTCCGACTGTGAAAATTGGACACCCATCAATGTAAACTTGACAATCTGATCATCTTCCAGGAGACCCAGAAGACAGCCTCAATCCGCCCCTTGATATATCCTTGGCAGTTGCAATGCGGAAAAAAAAAATTGCAGTTGCTGATGAAATGATGTCTAGGGGTGCATTCCCAGAATTTATTATCGATCCAGAGATTTAGATTTAGATCGACCTAATTCCCTGGGGGTTCATGTTAATTGCAGTCAGCCAAGCGTGCACCATACTTAATTACCCCTTTACAGCTTTTAGTAGGCAGGACAGATGCTTCAGCCGGCTAAGCTGACAGTAATCTTGTGAGACTCCCAACAGGGATAAATTTATCTAAAATCTATGGGAATGGGGTCTAGGATATATAAGATACACTGATTTCATTATATCGCTTGTTTCTTGTGGCATGTCAAACATAAAAATTGAGGTAATAATTTAAAGTGGAAAATTGAATCAAGCATTGTATTACTTCTTGTTGATAGAAAAATAACTGAAATAAAAGACAGGCGAATTGTAATGTGGCCCGTCCCGAATAATGTCAGATCAATAGCATCGGTGGATAGTATAACACCTTTCTTCTTCTTGCATTTCTTTGTCTGTTTGCCAGAATAAGCGACGGTGAGAGGAGGATAAGTGGACGGATAGACTTATCCAACTCTGCTGTATATCATCAAGCATTTTGTGGCTGGTGAGGGTGCAAGATTTGATGGCAAAAAATTAATTTAACTTCGCCTCCACAAGGATTATCCAAAGCACAGCGACCGTGAATTGACACTCACGTATATTTATAGTGATTTACACGTACAGATATTATAACTTAAATAATCAGTGGTTAAACCAAACGAAAATACTCAACCTAGAGAGAGAAGCCACTCATGAACTGATGTTCTAAGAAGAAAATTCTGCTTGATATTGCTGGGTTAAACATGGAAATGCCAAATTTTAAGAAACCGATTTGGAGTTACAAAATGGCGCGGGTATACTACATGAAACCTCGGTACAAGAAAGAACTCACTCTGGAGTGAAACCATTCAAATGTCAGTATTGTGAAAAGAGTTTTATTACGAAAGGTAAACGTACATATCATGAAAAGACACACACTGGAGAAAAACCACATAAATGCCTGCATTGTGAAAAGAGATTTCTCGAGAAAAGCGCATGTAGAGACCACGAAAGGATCCACACTGGAGAAAAACCATTCAAATGTCAGTATTGTGAAAAAAGTTTTATTACAAAAAGTTTATGTACAAGACATGAACGGACACACACTGGAGAAAGGCCATACAAATGCCAGTATTGTGAAAAGAGCTTTAAAAGCAGACATGGATGTGTACTTCATGAATGGAACCACACACTTCGTAATGAAGCAGAAGTCAAAAAGGAAGTGAGAGATGATGTTGCTCCAGGAGAAGGACCTGTTATATACCCTGTTGCAATGTTTAGAAATGTTTTTGCAGATGCTGATGCATAATGTCTAGGAAGACATAAATTGATATCTAAGACATTTGAGATGCACTGATCTAACTTATTAGTTGTAAGTTCTCATACATTAAGATATGGGTAAAGAATTTAATGTGAAAAAACAGTGATTCATCGCTTGGCTTCTTGTTGATAGAGAATTAACTGAAGTATCAGATGAGATTTCTTTCATTTTCAAGTCATCTATTTTTTAAACCTAAAAACTGATCTATGTCATAGTGTATACATTAGAAAATAAGGAAGGACGTTAATAACGGAATATTACAATAACAGAAAATTGATTACAAGACTTGAATGATTATATGAATATTAAGACAAAAGGATGAGAATGGTCATAACTACATTTCCGAGAAAACCTCGGCCCAGGCATGAGCGATAGGATTAGAACCTTGGGTCTTAAATTGTAAATTTTGTGGGAGGGATGCTCTGAACACTGCTTTTATTTCCCAATAATTCAACGAATTGAGCAGTGCCTGTACAAAAGATTATGGTGCATTATTTATCTGGGATTAAGACAAATTCCCAGTTTCAAAGGCTTTATTGGGTTTTGGATTAAATGTACCTTCTCGTCATATGCAACATTTGCGCATGTATAAAATTTTGTCAGTAATTACTGCTACAAAAAATATATGTTAAGGAATCAATCTTTTCAATGAGGGAAGACTAATAGTATTTCACATGCCATAGAAGGAGAAAAGTTTTAAAAATCATCAAAAGATATATCTATTTATAGCATCTGTAGTGCTTTTTTCCTTATACAACAGAACTGTAAGGTAGTCGCTGTTTAGTGGTTTTGTTGATATCATTAAAGAGGAATGTTATAACTTTAAAAAATGACTTAATACAATACCTGTAAAATTCATAATTTTTCTGATTGAAAGGATTCGTTCAGCTTGGATACATCATATAATCTACAAGGAAATATGGGATCATTTCCACCAAAAAAAAAGTTTGGCCCCTCCCCTCTCTCTCTCTCTCTCTCTCCCCCCCCCCCCCCCAAGTTGCTTTTTTTATCTTTTTGGGGGGACATATATGCCATGTTTTGAAGCCAGTTGCCACCTAAAAGTCATACAGTTTTACGCCAGAGGTAATATCACAGATATATCCTGTTGCAATGTTAAAAAAATTGCAGTTATACTGATCAATGAAATGTCTAGGATATATAAGATACATTGATCTCAATATGTCACTTTTTACATGTGGCGTGTCAAACATGAAGCAATGTGGTAATAAATTGGAAAGTAGAAAATTGAATCAATCATTGTATTTCTTCTTGTTGATAGAAAAATAACTAAAGTAAAAGGCGTGAACTGGGCAGGTGAATTGGAACGTGGCCTGTCTCGAATAATGCCAGATAAATAACATCGGTGAATAGTATAATACCCTTTTTGCCTGCATAATTTCTTTCTTTGGAGTCTGCCCTTGTTTGCCACATAAGCGACGAAAAGAGGACGGATAGACTTATGCGACTCTGCTGTATATCATCAAGATTTTTTGGCTGGCGAGGCTGCAACATTTGATTGCAAAAAATTAACTTAACCTGGCCTCCACAAGGAAGATCCAAAGCACAGCGACCGTGAATTGACACCCATGAATATTTTAACTTATAACCCAACGGCTAAATCAAACCAAAGGACTAAAACTGGAGAGAAGCCATCTGTATACTAGTGTTCTAAAAAGAAATTCTCTTCGAGATACTGCTGTAATAAACATGGAAATACCAAATTTTAAGAAAACCGTGTTGGAGTTACAAAATGGCGCAGGTATACTACATGTACATGGACCCCCGGTACACGAAAGAACTCACACTGGAGTGAAACCATTCAAATGTCAGTATTGTGAAAAGAGTTTTATTGCAAAAAGTAAACGCACAAGACATGAAAGGACACACACTGGAGAAAAACCTTTCAAATGCCAGCACTGTGAAAAAAGTTTTGGTGCGAAAGACACATGTAAACAGCACGAAGGGACCCACACTGGAGTAAAACCATTTAAATGTCAGTACTGTGAAAAGAGTTTTGGTACAAAAAGTATCTGTACAAGACATGAATGGGAACACACTGCAGAGACACCTTTCAAATGCCAGTATTGTGAAAAGAGGTTTAGTGAGATAAATAAATATATGGACCATGAAAGGACCCACACTGGAGAAAAACCATTCAAATGTCAGTATTGTATAAAGAGTTTTATTACAAAAAGTAAACGCACAAGACATGAAAGGACACACACTGGAGAAAAACCTTTTAAATGCCAGCACTGTGAAAAGAGTTTTGGCGAGAAAGGCAACTGTATACAGCATGAAGGGACCCACTCTAGAGAAAAACCATTCAAATGTCAGTATTGTGAAAAGAGTTTTGATACAGAAAGTCAATGTAGGAGACATGAATGGGAACACACTGCAGAGAAACCATTCAAATGTCAATATCGTGAAAAGAGTTTTGATACAGAAAGTCAATGTACAAGACATGAATGGGAACACACTATAGAGAAACTATTCAAATGTCAGTATTGTGAAAAAAGTTTTAAAAACAAACCCGGATGTGTACAACATGAAAAGACCCACACTGGGGAAAAACCCTTCAAATGCCAGTATTGTGAAAAAAGGTTTATTGAAAAAAATAAGTGTTTATTACATGAAAGGATCCACACTGGAGAAAAACCATTCAAATGTCAGTATTGTGAAAAGAGGTTTATTGAGAGACGCCACTGTATAACACATGAAAGGACTCACACTGGAGAAAAACCATTCAAATGCCAGTATTGTGAAAGGAAGTTTATTGGGAGACGCTACTGTAAAATACATGAAAGGACTCACACTGGAGAAAGACCATTCAAATGCCAGTATTGTGAAAAGAGTTTTACGAAAAAAAGTACTTGCATGTCGCATGAAAGGACCCATACTATGGAAGAGCCATTCAAATGCCAATATTGTGAAAAGAGTTTTAAGGAGAAAACCAACTGTACACAGCATGAAAGGATCCACACTGGAGTAAAACCTTTTAAGTGCCAGTATTGTGAAAAGAGTTTTAATGTGAAAAGTAACTGTACACGGCACGAAAGAAGCCACACTGGAGAAAAATCACTCAAATGCCAATATTTTGAAAAGGGCTTTAGTGAGAATGTTTCTTCTCTTCAGTCCAAGAAGGAATTTGAAGGTGAGGATTCAGAGACAGCGACAAGAGAACAAAGGGGTTTTTGTTTTGAAGCCACAATCAAAAAGGAGTTGAAAGATGATGTTGCTCCAGGAGAAGGACCTGTTATATACCCTGTTGCAATGTTTAGAAATGTTTTTGCAGACGCTGATGCATAATGTCTAGGAAGACATAAAATGATGTCTGAGACATTTGAGATGCACTGATCTAACTTATTAGTTTAGGTTCTCATGCATTAAGATATGGGTAAAAAATTTAATGTGAAAAAAAAGTGATTCGTCACTTGGCTTCTTGTTGATAGAGAATTAACTGAAGTATCAGATGAGATTTCTTTCATTTTCAAGTCATTTATTTTTTAAACCT